CATATTTTTAAATGACCAATGACTGGTCATTATTCACTTGAGTCATGAAGTCATTTCAGGTCATTTACCATCCCTGATATACAATATTATTAAGAACTAAAAATCGAAATTTATTAATAATTAATCATTATATAATATATTTATAAATTATATTTATATTAAAAAATAAGTTCTCTACTTTAGACACTAACAGCAAATCTAACTATATGCCTTGTGCAAGATAATAAACTATTGCATCTACAGGTTCTATACTAAAATTCCAAAAGACAAATTCCTATATACTGACGAAGTTTGTTAGTATTAGTTATAATGCTGGCTAACTTTGTCAATATTATGTTCTTTCAGAAAAATGGTTTTCATGATTTTGGGGTAGAACCGCATCTACGTATTTTGTGCAAGATAAACTATTAAACTAAAAAGTTTCGATAAAATTAATAAAAAAAACAAACTTATAAACTTATACTGAATTTAGCAATCTTAATATTACTTTCAAATCATTTACCTAGTTGTTTTGTGCTCGAATATACACCAACAACAAATGCAGGTGCGTATAATTTCGAACTTTAATATATTAATGCACGTAGTGATGTGATATATGTGTCTAGAAGCAGGTAATAGTCTATTTAATCACTTTACCAATGCTGACAATTCTCTTTTTGGTTCTTTAATTTCAATGACTCATATTAACATTTCTAGATAATATGAGTTATGAATAAATTGTTATACTGTTGTAAGCAAGATTTAAGGAGCTTTAAGCAAAGCTAGTGATTTTGGCTGATCAAAATTTTTCGGCTATAGTTAAGCTGATAAATTTTACCAGCTTGGCAGATTTTAAAATTACACTATTTGATTTGACTTTACTAAAAATTTTGGTATCAACCTTTTTCCACCTCTAATGCTACAATCCTAGTAATAAAATCGATCACTGAGTTTAAAAAAAATCGATCGGCTAAGCTGATAATTTGCTTTTAGCTAATTTTTTTACTATTGGCCAAGATCATTAAGCAAAGCGTACAATCAAAGTCTACTATCAAAATTTGATATAAAAAAATATTTGCCTATATATGAGAAGTTGACAATAGCCTTAAGGCATGTAGTATTGTAGTGCCTTGTATAATTTTTTGTACAAGTCCTCTAGATATAATGACAGATTTTTTTGTTTTAAGGAATAATTTTTTTTTTGTAAACTGTTGAAATCCCGTATAAGATTAATAATAAAAAAAACTCTCTGACAGTATATCAGCCAAGTGAGCATATAATACTGTGAAAAAAGATGTACAAAAATCAATTAGTTTAAAAAGATCTATCTAACAAAAAAATAAAATACGTAACAATGCTTATAAAAATGCATGCAATAATAAAAATAATAATGCGATAGAAATAGTAAGGGCAGTATCATTTATCATCTGATTATTTTTTATCAGAGGCTTACTCCCCCTCCCCCTCTTAATATAAAAAAAAATCAGGTTCTTATATATAATTTTAATTTTTTTTATCTCTCCCCTAAAAAATCACCTGATTTTTGTTATGTCTCTAAGTCTATTGATGCAAGAATAATGGTGCAAAGAATGTTATGTTGTGTTAAAAAAGAACAAAGAATTATGATAGTTATTGTTATGTATAAAAACGAGAAAAGAAATAAAACTTAACTTATTTAGTATTCAATCCTTATTGATAAGAACAATGCATATACGATTGTATGAGTAAATTGAGTAGACTTCGTTTAATCGTTATATAAGTACGTTCACCTCCAATATAATTTGTATACTTTTTTTTTATATAAACTTTCAACTAATATTCATGAGCTAACAAACCTTTCTTTTAAGCCCCAAGTTCGATAAAACTTACATATACAAGACCCTGATACTAAATACCAACACTTTACAAATACATTTGTATATAAACATATGGTAATAAATGAAAATTCCACCCCAAGTCAAATAATTATCTGTGACGCTGCTGCAAAGGAATGGAAAAATATTAAAAAGATGAAAGAATCTGAACTTGATGATATTATAAAAAAATACTTAGCAACGCCTCTTAAAATACAAGGATATTTTTGGTCTACTGCTTCATCTCGACAAAAATCTCCAGAAATTTCTAAAGTGAATTTATCTCAGAATACACCTTCACAGATTCCACTAACATTTGATGTAGAAGAAATTCAAAATAATACGTCGGCTCAAAAATGGGTAGCTAATTCTAAAGTAACTATAGAAAAAAAAATTAAAGAACTAGAAACTGTGTATAGCTTTATTAACAATTTGCAGCTTTGCTATGATTTATATGTTAGAATCACAAATCTTAAATCTGAACTTCAAGAATATGAGAACAAACTACACAAACTAAAATGAAATGCCAAATATCAATCTAAATGCTGATCCAAAAAGATTAAAGCATTAGAAGAAGAACAAGTGGTAATTTGATATGATACACCTGGCAAACTGTCAATTTTGCTTCAGAATCTAGAGTTACTCGATCATATTCATAATTCAGTAGAGTATGGATCCACTAATGCACATAAACGTAAAGAAGCCATTAAAGTAAGGATTATAAATCACCTAAGGGAGAATCTTAAAAAAAATTATAGCATTTATATGGCCAGAACGACCTTAAACAGTTACCTTTTACCCTGCCAATCAAATTCAATTGCGGCCAAAGCTCACTATCATCCGGCCTGAGTAGCTGTAACTGGTGTTTCTCATAACAAAACAAAAGATCATCCTGATAGATACTATTGTCTTGCCTCGGTTAAAGGAGTAAGACAATTTGCACGTGCCTTTCCAAATGCTTCCATAATTATCTCTCAAGATGATAAAGCAAAAATAGGCCTAAGAATACCAGCAGTTGGTAAAACATTTTGTACTTTATAGTCTGCATCTAAACCAGTTCAACTACCTGACCATGATTTTGCTTGTGGAAATAGCCAAAAACTAATTCCGTCTGTTTACCTGATGATTAAACCAAACGAAGAAAATGATAACCTTCAAATAGGACAAGTAGTAATTTTTGTCAGACTCTAATGGTCAATCGGTATATTATCTATTACTCACGCTAAAGATTTTATTTCTCTTGTATCAGATAATCAGTATTCAGAAGCTCTAAAAATAAATAATGAGATAAAACTGATTTGGGTTTTGTTAGTTAATGAAGATCCTGACGAGAACCCTAGACATTTTAAAAATATTGAATCATATTGTAAGTTGTTTAAAAAATTTGATCTAGACTATTTGACTATACGAACTCATGCCTTGGGATAATCAAAATATAATCTAGTCGAAAGAAGTATGGCAATACTTTCAGGAAAACTAGCTGGAATCATCTTGCCAATAGACCATTTTAGAAAACATCTTGATAGCCAGGGTAATGTTAATAATACTAATCTAGCAGCTCAAAATTTCAATTATGCTAGAATGATATTGTGCGATATATGGCGCCGTAATCCTATTTTTGGAAAGCATGTAAATACAACTTATATTAACAAAATCACTAATCTATTTGTAAATCTTGAATTTACCTTCAAGGATCAAAAAAAAACTGAATATAATAAAAAACAAACAAATGAAAAAAAAATAATAAAGAGAATGACATATCTTGTATCTCTGTTCCATAGAATTGGATTGAAAAGTATTGTAATTTATGTCAGTATTTGCTTGATATTAAATGTTATACTGATCTAGATTGCTGTGGGCCCCCAGAGTACCAGAAGTTACAGAATTTTTTCAACTTTCTAATAGTTTTTTGCCACCTGTTATCAGGGCTAAGGATGGTCATTACATAAATCTCATTTATCTTCTTCAGTATTTTGAACAACTTAAAGTTCCTAGCTATGATAAACATTGCCTATCTATTAGTCAAACAACATATTCTTGACTTTGTTGTTCAGTTTGTCACAAATATTTTCCAACTTTGGCCTACATTACAAAACACAAACATAAGTTGCATCTGTCTGCTCGTGGAAGACCAAAAAAAAACTAACCTAAAAATTCTGAATCTGTAGTAGAAGTTGTGGTAATTACTAATGCTACAACTTTAGAAGACTTTAGTATACTTCTTTCACAACAAAACAAAAATTGCTTTTTAGTTGACGATTTTAGAGAATATGCTTCTGATATAGAATTTTAACAGGTATAAAAAAATAGTTTAACTGGTTTATACTTTTTTAAAAAAAAATCTGATTGTTCTTTACTTGAGATATTTTACACATATTTAGATCAACTCTTTATAATATAATAAGAATAAATATAAAAATAAATTAGTTATTTTTGAGTACTGGTATTTTGTCTAAAGCATATGTAGCAAAAGAAAAAGTAATTGCATTAAAAGTTCTGATTCTGATGCACAACATTAATAAAAATAGTAATAAATCAAAAAGTAATTTTGAAAAAGGATATTATCTTTTCCAGTATCATGGTAAATGAAAATAAACTTTTTTAAGTTCATTTAAGTTAGGTTAGTGCTTACTATATAGGGTTAGATATTAGTGCTCAAAGAAATTTTTTTTTTGTTAAAGCACAAAAGGAGAAATAAGCAATTTTTAAAAAATCAAAAGTTTGATCTTCCAAATCATGTAATGTTACATCAAAGTAAGGCTTGCTATTGGATAAGCTACTGTATATCTTTAGAGTATTCTTATATGACAATAAAATTTTTATTTTCGAATATCTACCAGTTAACATGAACTCCTACCAATTCAGATAATTTTTGTATCTCTAAAACCTGCCACATGATAGTATATATACATACGTACATATCTACTTACTCTAAAGTAAAATCACGCTTTTCTTTTTTATAGCAATACTTTATTGGTTTATGCACGTGATAGGTGATCATATAATAGTTTCAAACAAACAATACTATGCATCTCTATACTATATATTATATATATATTATGTATAACGTAAGACTTTGGACTAACCCCCTCCCTTCAAAGATATTATGTAATATCTGTCATGGCTCTAAGCAAATCTAATATTAACTTAGAGAAATTTATATTCTTTTTATATCTTTAGAGCTAATTACTAATCATTGTAGCTAAACATAGTTTATTTAGTACTAAGTATAAAGTATAATTATTAATTGTTAAGCATTAAATGCTAATTGTTAATTGCTAAATATTAAGTATAAAGTATTAAGCATTAAGTATTAATTACTAATTATTAATTGCTAATCATTAATCACTAATCATTAATTGCTAATTATTAATTATTAAATATTAAATACTAAGTATAATATATATTTTTAATTTTACTCTAATTATAAGAGACGTAACAAAAATCAGGTGATTTTTTAGAGAGAGAGGGGGATAAAAAATTTAAAATTATATATAAAGACCTAATCAAGATATATAGTAAGAGGGGGGAGGGGATAAGCTTCTGATAAAAAAAAATCAGATGATAAATGATACTGCTCTAATAATAATAATTAAATAATAAAATAATAAAATAATAATAACTAATAACTAATAATTATACAATATCAAAATAATAAACTAATAAAATAAGTTGGGTGTGATGACTTAGTGAAGTGGTTAAGTTGTCGCACCCCCAAGTGATATGTTGAATAGATAGAGGGTTCGAAAACCACTAGCGACGAATTTCAAAAATTCTATCTGTACAATGGCTACTGTATCTGTTTAGTTAGTTGGAACAGGATCTCTGTAACTTTGGTGGCACCAACAAGATTAGAAGATCATAGGTATTTGTATGATGCATGAGTTACATGAAAAAGTTCTAGATCGTGTTAATCCAAGGAATCGTAAAAAGATGACAGATGCTCGCTTGGCAAGACCTAAATAGAGAGGTAGCACAAATCTTTGATAGTACTACTTAAAGGATTGTTACTGAGAGAACTGGCGAAACTGAATAAGACCAAAGTATTTGGCAAGGCACTCCACCAACCAGGCTGCCGAGAGAGTAACCAGAGGAAAAGAACCCAACCGTGGGGACCAGGGCAAGTCACAGCCCTTCTGGGCCATCTGGATTGGTAGTTTGGGATTGTTGGAATTAATTAGTGATAATCTGTAAAGTGTGTACTAGAGTTTGGGTGAACTCTACAAAGGCAGAAGTAGATAATGGTAGCGGTCTTGGCTCGCAAGTACTTGTTCTCAGACTTGGCATAAGTTACTAAAGTCTAGGTTAGCCAAATTGTAGGTACGAAAAGCTCTAGCAGGTTTATCTCAAGGACAAAGAGCTTTCAATAGAGGTAGCTTGTCTTAAAGTCCTAAACTGGGTATCCGAAAATAAGGGTCCAAACTGGATTCTCACTTAGTTAAATAGGTTATCCCCCATAGGTACAGAAGGTTTAAATAGATAACCCCCTAGTTGGGTTGCAGATATGGCATCTAGTGTAGAACTTGATAATAAGTAGACTACTTAAATAGGCAACCAAAAGTTGTACATGTGGCTAGTATGTACTTTCCAAATATATATATGGTATAGGCCTCCCGAAAGGTAGCTTATCGTACAGTAAAAGGTTAACTAATAATTAAATAAAAGGAGACGGCCAAGAGGTCACCTTAACATCGAAAAAAAAAAAAACTAATAAAATAAGAGAATGTCTATTTTCACTATAGTATTTTGCTATTTCTACTATAGTTATACAAAAATTACTATTTTTAGCATTTAATATAAAAAATATAATAAATTAATATAAAAATTAATTTTTAAAATTAAAGAAATTTTTTTATTAAGTTAGGGTCTGTTGGACTTTTAAATAAAGTTGTAGAGAAGATTTTTCTAGTTCTAATAGTAGTTAGATTATCAAAATTAGTTTTGTAAATCTCAAGATACTTGGAGTTAAAGATACAAATATAAGAATTTAATATAAAAAATTAATTTTTTTAAAATTAAAAAAGTTAGAGTTTGTTGAACTTTTAAGTAAAGTTATAGTGAAGATTTTTTTAGTTCTAATAGTGGTTAGATCATCAAAATTGGTTTTGTAAATCCTAAGATATTTGGTATTAAAGACACAAATATAAAGATCTACAAATTGATAGTTATATAAAGTATTATAAACTATAATATTTTGTATAACCATCAATTTGCAAATCCTTATATTTGCATCTTTAACCCTAAATATTTTGGTATCCACAAGACTAATTTTGATAATCTAACTACTATTAGAATTAGAAAAATCTTTTTTATAACTTTACTTAAAAGCCAAAAAAAGATTTATTTATTAAAAGTTTCTTTAAATTTTAAAAAATTAATTTTTATTATATTATTATATACAGTATAATATATTCTATTGGCATGAAAAAATTTTGTACCAGGTTTTGTCGATCATTATAGCACAGATCTCTAAACTACAAATCAGATTTCATAAATTAGGTGTAATATAACATGATTAAAAA